AACAATATCAGATAACCATACCATCTATGGGTGCAAAAAAGCATACATAGAGAGCACTAGCAGCCCGCGTCGCTTCGCTCCGGGGAAGCTCTAGCTCCTACGGAGGATGGTTATAGTGCATTTCCTGCATGGTTTTCGCGCTTGGTTTGTTATGAAAGTAAAGCGTGGACTCCACAGTGTGGAGTAATAGTTGAAGGTTTCGTTTGGGTAAAAGTGTACTCCCATACGATCGCCAAATGGTTGCAAATTTGCACGAACTGCGTGAGTACACCAATTGCCTAACTGCAAGAAATGCAAGAAAACTTGATGAAATTACGCACGATGTAGTATTGGGAATGCGTTGAGAAGAGTAGAATTGTACTGTTGGGAGGCTTTTAGAATTAATAAATATAAATCAACTCATAAGAGGGACACTTGCTGAGAGTATAAGAGCAAGTAATGAGAATTTGTGGAAGAAATTTGAAAATGTGAGATTTTGACGCACGATTATAGCCGAGTAGCATAAAAGTATTAATTAATGTGGAGACATTGTCTCCGAGACAATGATGTACACGATACTCGTGACAGGATGCAGCGAGGCTAGCAAAATGGGAAATCTGAGGCCCGAACACTCAGGGTCGCAGATCACAGTCACAGACGCGAGCTTGTCTTCCAAGGCGAGGATGGCATTCACCAGTGCGTCGGTTCTCGGCTCAGCCCGAGAATGTGTCCATACTTGAACGCAGCAGGCTCGGAAACGGAAAAACGAAAGATAAACCCAGACTTCCGGGGTTATGTTAGTAATAACACCCGCACTGGTTGACTCAACAACACTTGGGATAGCCATAATAGGTGATAAGGCTTCTTTTCTTATCCATTTCAGCCTGAGGGCTGCGAGCCGTTTCATGCAACGAATAATGGGCGAGCGAGATTCGTGCATACGCGCGCGAACAGTTACGTCCTTTCCGTGACGCCTATGGCGATTCATGTCACGACGGAGCGGGACTCACGGAAAAATGGAAATAGCGATACACAGAGCAGCATTCCGCATCGGTAGATTTCTTTCAGGTAGTTGAGTAACATCCCTCATGCTCTTTACTGCAAGTTCGTTATGGTTGAGCAGCCTCCTGTGGACGCTTGAAGCTCTTCATGTGGCCCCAGATGTGTCTTATGAAAGAATAGGTCCTACGAACACTACTTGCGAGGGTCTCAAGGTTCTTACTACTGGCAAAGGGGGGATCTGTGATCCCAGCGTCGAGCAAGTTCATGGGCGATATGCTGTGGACCCGGTAAACCCACAGAGGGAGTGAGAACTACTGTTTACTGCTACGGGGACCGATCTGTCGGCAGGTTTTTCTTCTGGTTCTTTGAATCGAGGAACGATCCAGCAACTGATCCGATCTTCCTATGGCTTGAGGGTGGCCCAGGCGCGAGTGGAACTGCTTCAGCGGTTGGATACAACGGTCCTTGCATGGTAAACAAAAAAGGAACAGCGGCATCCAACAACCCGTAAGATGTCCACATTGATGATTCTCAAGATGAATGTTTCAGGAACTCGTGGACTAACAAGGCAAATGGCATCTGGTTGGATCAACCCACCGGGGTGGGATACAGCAAAGGAGGGCCACCTGAGGAAACGATAGGGGAGACTGTGAAGAACATGTTAGTGCGAAATTCGCACTGCGAATCTCATGGGATTTCGTTGGATCATCTCAATCACCATCAGATACAGCTTCTTGAGGGCGTTTTTCAGTCGATTCCCCAAGTACAAAGGCCCATTCTATCTGATCGGGATCTCATTTGCGGGTGAGAGGGCGCACAACATTCATACCACTATCATAACGATGTTCTGCGTATTTTAGGTGTTTTGCTCCCACAGATCGCACATGCTTTGAAACAAGGTAGCGAACCCCCAATAAGCCTCGAGGGCATCATTTTCCAGAACGCAATGATAAATGCCGAAGCTCAGTAGCCATCCTTCAATTTGTATCTCTTCCTCTTTCTTAACTTCAGGTTCCCCTTGTATCCCGAGATGGCTTTTCACAGTAAAACTGCGGCGCCTGCCATCACAAAGCAGCAGTGAGTATCGTCTTATGGTCTGAGAGTGGTATATAACTCTGGGTATCCATGTCGAACCCACTGTCGAAGAAAAGAAGCCCGAATGAGCCTTTGTAGAATACCATGTTAGGCTCATGCTGATACCAAAAAATAGTATCACGGTAGAGGGGGAGTAGTGATATTGGACCAAGATCTAACTTATATATACTCTCTTTCAAATGTATCTCTATGATAGTCCATCATAGAGATATTGATAGTGCCTACACTCTCTGATATGAGTGTGATAGACTTCGACAAGGTACGATCAAATGAAGCGAGAGATGCCCGGGTGCCTGAAAGAGATACAGAACTGCAATAGGAAGCGTAGTACGCTTATGATAGTTTGGATCAAGCCAAATATTTCTTCTCCAGCGAACGTCTGCAGGGTAGCCCATGAGCAGTGTCAGGAACTATCTCTAAATCCGCTGGTCTCCAATGGAGTGGACTTGTGAGTCACTTACAGGTCATCTTCAGCAGATGTCCGAAATAACAGTCATGTCAGCTATAAACTTACGACGAAATGTCCTCATCCAGATCGGGCTGGATGCAACAACGAGGAAGACTCCCCAAATGTAAGGCTCGCTCTACGTAAGCCCTCCTCATTTGAATCAATGAGGACTCGGGGAATGCGTCTACCTGGTTTGAGTAATTCCTGATTTTTCCCTAGGTTGATTCATTCATGCAGCTACCTGACGTCAAAACCTTTCTCGGAGTGAGCGAAGAATTCGTCATCGATAATGATGAGGTGAGGAAATTTCAGAAAAAATGATTCTTACGTTCAGTTTCGTGCCTTCTAGGGCAGACGATATCATCAGAGACGGTCTTCAGGTTTATAATCAGCTTGTTCCCTTCGTTCTGCTCAATTCGGACTCTTTTCTCCCGGGCCTACTGCAGTCTGGCGTTCGTGTAAGTTGGAGATCATAGCATGGGTTACAGTATCTTTTCTACATAACTTAGGTGTTGACCGTTGCCGGTGACTTAGACTATATCTGTAACTTCATGGGTCTGAAAACGTGGATGCTCGACTTGGATTGGCCCGGTAGAGATGCCTTCCGGAGCGCCAGGGATGTGGAGTTCAAGGTGAGACAGTCGAAAGGAAGAATAAGCATACACTCAGACCCGGGTCAGATTCTGCCGGGATTCACTTGAGGTCTAAAAAGGTTCCATGGTCGTTTCGATAGATTGGATAACACTCCTGCTTCGTTCAGGATAGTACCGGTCGGGTTGTTGGGTTGCGACGAAGCAGCAGTAATCACGAATACGAGTTTGTTCAAGTAAACCCGGCCACAGTGTGTGATAGCCTTTTTAGTGAATATATGCTCAGGTTTACGGGGCGGGCCACCTCGCTGCGCGCGATAATCCCCGTGGAGTCATGGAAACCATCAATGACTTCATGAATGGCTTATAGCCACAGTTTTATGAGGGAGATGCTACCAGATTCTCCATGTCACTTCGTTGTCTTGGTCGTTCTGGGCTGAACGAGATATTCTTTGGGCTGTCCTTTTGATCCTCAACTTTTCATTAATCACCAGTTATATCATCCGAAATGCGCAACCACAACTTCTCGACCTTTTCGCACGTGTGAAATGTGCGTATACTTGTAAACTTCATGTCGACATTCTTTTGATCTTATCCTTTCACGAGTAACTACTAGGGCTACTCGCAGCTCGTTTACATAACCATCCTATGCTTTCTACGACTAAAAGATGTGGTCTACAACTAACTAAGTTACTCGACGTTACTCGTTGATGACAATGTTGATATGACCATTGGGGTATCTGCCATTCCATTTACTAGTTGTGCAGGTACTATCCCCGAATGGTAACTGTAGAGTTAAGGATGGTCGATTACAGCAGACTACGCCAGCTCCATTGTAGAGCGGCTCTCTTTTCGTTGCGCTCATCAGATCGATCTCGCTATGGCCGGATGGCCCCTTTTAATGACGATTCAAGTTCTTAGGGAGATGGTTAAGATTATATACATGAGACTAAGTCGTTTTTCTTTGAGTCCAAATGGCACTTCCGAGTAGTGTTAGTCAACGAGGGGATCCCGCTAATCCCACAGTAACCTGAAAATTCAGTTGTGACAGTCGAGCCATGTTTTCGGGCATGCGCGAGCTATCATCAATTTGATGATAGCTCGCCACAGGGGAAGGAGACTTTGAAAGTCTCCTTCCCTGTAATGTCCCCCCAACCAAGCTCGCAACATGCTCGAACAGTTGCAACTTAGCTGTTTCCCACTTGCCCTCATGATAATGGTGACGATAACCCTCGTTGTTTAGTTGAGTGAGGAGTTAGGGTATTTGGGCTGGATACTCGGAGCTTATCCAAACGAAGCTATTGTTGGGGATACAAGATCTGTAGCTCTTTGTGATTTCTCGAGATAAGCTAAGCACCAATATCCCAACCCGAGTATCTAGCAGCGCTTTAAACAGACTTCTTCGTAATCGACCTATATAAGAGATGGTGAATCACCATTGGTGATCAAATAGTTGCATTCTCTAAACATCCCATATATATAAGAAGTCTGCATTGCGCCTCCCCATCCCAAATACCCTAAAGTACTCAATGCCCAGGGGTTCGAAATGAAAATAACTCCGTACGTCCCACGGATGATTATAAGCTCATTTATTTGTCGAGCTGGAGCTTGACTGACCGAATGCTGAGATGATACTCAGCTTGCACGCTTGCACATTAACGCACAATGCGTGAGCCCTATGTTGGTCGAGGCTAACGGAAATATATTGCGAAGTGAGCTATTATTCTTCTTACTCTGTGTTTCCTTATTCCACAATCTTGTTGTCGGTGCTTCTAGCACTACTGATGGTACATGAGAAGCAGTATCTCTGCATACTCTGTTTGTGCGCACTTCCAGCAGCTATGATAGAATCGATTAGGTTGGAGCGCACACAGTTGTCTGCATTATTGGTATTAGTCATTTGATCTCGCTTGATGTAGTGTAACGGTACATCACGAGTATCAGTGCGTCTTTCACTCACTTCTATGACACCCCCTCTTGCGTCTACTAGTCAAAGAACAACTCGAGCATCTTCACGTACCCGTAGTCAGCCTCCCCGTACTCACGCTGCTTCTTCTTCGAACCTTTCCGACATCACTGATGGCGAGATCCAGCATTACCGAAGATAATACCAGCATTCTTTGTAGTCTCCTCAGCTATCGCTCGAGTCGCATAAATCCTCCAACAATCGCTCCTCCAGGAACCACTGGTTTTGATTTCAGCTTCCGACACACTCTGCTGCGCCAGACGTGTTGCTCCTGTGCGTCTTAGACTATGTTCGGTAAACTTATCTACATCCAGCAACGCGTATCTAGTCGGATACTGCTGTTGCAGAAGCTCCTTCAACTTCCGAGCGTAAGTCGTCTCGCATATATCAGGAAAGATTCTCAAATCATCCGCAACCAAGTTCTCTTTCCTTTCCTTTAATTCGTGCGCTACGCGCCAAAGTGTCCCGCACGCTCTCCCCTCCGTTCCCGCACAACACTCCACTGTCTTCTGCATCCGACCATCCACGGTTTTGGGGTTCCAAATATCAATAATCACTCTCACTTACCGATCCAACAGTGGTTTGAAACCACTGGTTTCTAAGTTCGCTATAGCTCTAACCGCTTCATCCGAGATCATCGGAGCTTCCTTAGCGCTAACGCCCGCTGATTCTCTGATTTTTCGTGCTCCGGCTAACGCCCTCTTCACCAGAAGTTCATCCTGACTATCCGAATGAGGGTACCCCTTATTTGCCGATAATGTCTTGACAGTGTCAAGTTGACACTAGTCACATACTGAGAGATAGTGTTGCTATTCAGCTTTGGCTCCGGTAAAAGCAACGCCCGTATGAATAGCTGGACTTTGTCTGCGTTAATAGGATATGAGCTCACTTCTGAAAACAGCTTTTCTGCTGTCTTGTGTTGTTGGATGGTCGATGTTCTAGTCGATCTTTCCCTCAGCTGTTCATTCAATCGAGATTCCTCTTCGGATCCTTCCAACGGCTGCGCCTCCTTGAA